GATTGAAGATTAATTGAAATAAAATCACCTGGCACGATGCCTGACCCATAATAGAGTTCAATAAATTACAGCTACTGCAGCTTATTGAATCTGCAAACCCCAAATACAAGTCAAAAAAGAACTCTGGGCTTCCCAGACAACCATCTGCTCAGAGACCAAGTTACTCCACAACCTCCACCGGATGCCCCAGGAGCTCCTTTAGAACAGCAGTCGCCAACCGGTGGTCAGCGGACCACTGGTGGTCCGTGAGGTCCAAAAGGTTGGCAAACATTGCTTTACAAGATCCCATGAGGAAAATCTGTGTTCACTGACAGGAAGAAAGCTGAAGGATAAAACTGATTGTGTTTCCTTTTGACTCTGACCACTAGAAAATTCCACAGCATATCGTTTATCACTGTATAAGGTCTTGCAGTTTCTGTAAGTGGTTTCATATTACAAGATGACCCTCATTCAGTTTTTTCATAGGCTTTTCCTCTCTTTTTTTTTTTTTTTTTTTATATTTTATTGAGTTTTTACAGAGAGGAAAGGAGAGAGATAGAGAGTTAGAAACATCAATGAGAGAGAGAGACATCGATCAGCTGCCTCCTGCACACTCCCCACTGGGGATGTGCCCACAACCAAGGTACATGCCCCCGACCGGAATCGAACCTGGGACCCTTCAGTCCGCAGGCCGACGCTCTATCCACTGAGCCAAACCGGTTTCGGCCTTTTCCTCTCTTTTTAAATCTTAGTATATATACATTTACATTTTTGAAGTTATCATAATGTCTTTTTGAAAGATGGTAAAGAACAAATTAATATTTTCAGACAATACACAAAGTCTGTGCTACACTTTAAAGGAAACACATCAGATTTTAATAAAAGCTGCAGAAATTCAAAATAATTCCCCTTGACAGCAGCCCTACCACCAAGCCCTAGACTGCCCATTTCTAATGTCCAGCCCCCAGTGGCTCAGTGAGCAGAACTCACAGTAGTACCCTTTCCACCTGAAAATGAAAACACCTCACAGATGACAAGATGTCTGAGATCTGCATCAAACTAATACAGAGGAGAGGACAATCCGTGTTTGAAGCTGGGCAACAGGTGATAGGGAGTCAGCCTATCATTCTGTCCACTTTTGCGAATGTCCAATGTTCTCTATATATAAAATGTGAAACAGGTTAAATTTTTTTTTTAATAGAGAAAGGCAAACCGATGAAATCCAGAGTTAATTTCTCTGCCTTCTCTGTTACTTCAGGGACTTACTCTGAAGTAGGAACTCAGTGAAAAAGTGCTTTAGAATCAAATGTACCAAATGAGAAACAAACCCAGTTAGTTCTATCTGTCCTAAAAATCAGCATTCCAAACTACTAAATATAATCTAAATGCAAAGTTAAGAGAAAATCTGCTTGTTAGTAGAGTTCTCAACTGCATATTTTCAGATGGAATTGAAAAAACTTACAAACAAATATCATTTGTTCTTATTTATTATAAAAATCATCAGTGTGACACAGGGCATTTTTGATAAATTAAAAGGATCCGGTTATTTTAAGGTATTTATTTTTAAGAAGAGTCCTTTGGCTTTATAAAAGTCTATTTCAAACCTAAAATCAAAGTGAGCTGAAAAGGAAGACTTGCAGTAGAGCTAAAGGAAACAACCTTGACCTTAATCACATTTACACGTCTGAAATAATTCCACAGCAGTTACTGTAAGTCGCTACTAATGATGCAAGAATTGAAAGGTGGCAGTATTTACTCTTGAAAGCCACTGTCACCACAACACATCACTCAGCTTATGTGCTTACCACAAAGGCCACATAAACCCAAACTTGGAGCCAGCCCATGAGACTGGCCTCTGACCACTGTGCTCAGAACTCTACAAACACCCTCTTGTGGTTAAAAACATAAACAACAAACTTCTGACCATTATGTAATGAATATAATGTACTCTTCAAAGAATGCCAATGGAACATCATCCATGCCCCATCACTAGAAAAATTATCTATTATAAAATGTGAGTGTAACTACTCCAGATTCAATACTTTAGACACAAAGTTTATATGGAAAGAGATCAGAGGCAATTATTAAGAGGCTTGAGCATTAAGGACAAACAACATTTATCATTCTTGGCCTCTATGGCAGTTTGGGCCTATCTTCCATATGTAACAGCAACTTCATTTCTAAAATGAAATACAATGGTTCATAATATCCCCAAAGGAAATGCAAAGCACCATTCAAATTCTAATTATAATCTCCTAGCTGCAGACATGGATCACTGTTTGCCTAGAACAGGGGTGGGCAAACTTTTTGACTCGAGGGCCACAATGGGTTCTTAAACTGGACCGGAGGGCCGGAACAAAAGCATGAATGGAGTGTTTGTGTGAACTAATATAAATTCAAAGTAAATATCATTACATAAAAGGGTACGGTCTTTTTTTTTATTTCGTTTTATTCATTACAAACGGGCCGGATCCGGCCCGCAGGCTGTAGTTTGCCCATGGCTGGCCTAGAATATAACAACTATGGAGGACCTATGTATTTTTATTTTTTTACTAGAACCCCGGTGCACGGATTCGTGCACAGGTGGGGTCCCTCGGCCTTACCAGAAATCAGGGCCAATCGGGGGTGCTGGGGGAGGAGGGAGCGGCCGGCAGGGGGGAGGGACCACAGGAGGTTGGCCAGCCAGCCCCCCACATCGAGGCCAGCTAAGGGGAGGGACCATGGGAGGTTGGCCTCAGCAGCAAGCTAAACAGTGGCTGATTCCTCGAGGAATCGGGCTCCCTCCTCCCTCCTGTCTGGGTCTGGGGTGCAGGTGAACCAGATTCGGGGCTGTCAGTGCCCCAGCAGCAAGCTAACCAACAGTCGATTCAGTGAGGAATCGGGTTCCCTACTCCCTCCTGTCTGGGTCCTGGGTGTGGGTGAACCAGATTCGAGGCTGTCAGTGCGCATCATAGCTGCTGGCTGGTTGTCTGGTCATTCCAGTCATTCTGGTCATAACGGTCGCTTAGGCTTTTATATAGATAGCTGTTACATAGCCTAAACAGAAATAAATGAAGATCCCAGAATTGGTCAACCTTTTTTTCCTCCCTCTCATGTATACCACATTTAACACGGTTTTAATTCCTAACATACTGGTTCTATCTGCAATGACACCACTGTTGCCCAAAGCCTTGATTTCTTCTATGAGACAACTGCAACAGCCAAACTAAATGGTCTGCCTGTCTCCAACCTCTACTTCTACCCTTTCTCCAAATCTCAAACCTATAACACTTGCCTTGAAAGAAAAATTCCTCTCCAAGCTACTGTTTCCCAACATGCAAAAAGAAAACCCAATTATACACTAACTTCCTAGGCACTTGAGAAAATGATCCTATATAATAAAAGGCTAACATGCAAATAGACCAAACGGCAGAACAATCGAACAAACAGTCACTATGACATGCACTGACCACTAGGGGGCACACACGAAACATGGTGGGTGTCAGCAGGAGGTGGCAGAGCACAGAACATGGTGGGCGTCAGCCGCAGTGGGATGGTGGAGCAGGTGAGCAGGGACACTAAACCAAGGTGGGGTGCTGGTCGCTGTCATCAGGGCAAGCCTCTGGTGGTTACTGAAAATTCTTGGCTCCTGCGTGTCACAGTCCCCCCCAGTGCTTGCACCTGCTGCCAGTGCCAGCCCCGCTCGCACCCGCTGCTGGCGCCAGAGCCAACGCTCGAACCCACTGCCCATGCCCGGCACCAGCCCCACTTGCCCACTGCTGGCGCCAGCCCCAATTGCTCTGCACCATCAGCGGGTGCAAGCGGGGCTGGCGCCATCAGTGTGTGGGAGCAGTGGCAGCAGGAGTAGGGCTGCCTGCAGACAGGGGACCAGAGGCCACAGTGGGAGGGGCCAGGTAGGGGCATGGAGGATGGGCCAAGACCCATCCCTGTGCCCACTGCAGCCTCACGGCCCACAGTTCTTTTCAAGGTGCACGAATCCGTGCACTGGACCCCTAGTTATATATAAGTGGGAAGTTCTTTCAAAACAGAATAGACTATATCAGGGGGTGGGCAACCTTTTTGTGAGTGAATGCCAAAACCAGCAAATCTCTGACTCAAAATTCTTCTGCGTGCCAACCCTAATTTTTTGAGAACATGTTACGCCTACTTGATATCTCTTAAGGTGTACGTATGTGAAGAACCTTGAAGTAATAATAAAATTCATTCGAGTGACAAAAACACAGTAAATGATGATGAAAATACATTTATTTTTTAATGCAAAAGCATAGAAATTGCTCTTCCCCTCTCTCGTCAATCCATGTCTATGGTCTTTAAGACAACTTGTTATGTAAAATTATTTATCTAAGATGCACCTACACTGAATTTATCTGAAAAATAAAAAAGCTGATATTAAGAAAAAAATTGTAAATGGAAGATTATAAGAGAGGGTTTCACATGCCAGCAAAAGTTACTGGTGTGCCATGTTTGGCACGCGTGCCAGGGGTTGCCCACCCCTGGACTATATGAATTATATATAACAAAGAGAGCCAAGAGTGGTCCTAAATTTTTTTAAGACATTATACAATATTACCTAACTCATTTTTTTTAATATATTTTATTGATTTTTTACAGAGAGGAAGGGAGAGAGATAGAGAGTTAGAAACATTGA